AATAATCTAGACCTTCCTATATTTATGAACAGCAATGTACTCAACGAGTCATCTTTGTAATATTCATTGCAAAATTAGCACCTGCTAAGGCTGTATCTCTTTATTATAATTACTATTTTCTTACTCTGAATCCTATTCTTAATCTCTATAAATCTCAAATCCATCCTTGTATGGTATACTGTTGCCATATCTGGAGCGGATCTTCAAATGATGTCTACTCTTTTTTAGAAGGGGCAAATATACATAGTAAACATGATTAGACTTACTCTTGCAGCCAACCTTTAAGCTATGTCACATCTTCATAGTGTTGCTTCCTTTCTCTTTTCTATAAATACTATAATGAGCGCTGCTCTAAAGAGCTAGCCTCTCTTGTGGCATTTAATAAAACTGATTCTTGTGTTACTCGCTAATCATTTAGGCCTCATCCTTTTTTTTGTGAATGTTCCTAAGTTCAAAAATTATTTTTTGCCTTGTTTTTTTCCTCAAACGTTAGTTCTTTGGAATTCCTTTCCTTCATCTTTTTTTCCTTATTCATTTAACTTGCAATCTTGCAATCTAAGTTGTCTGTTAATCGTTATCTTGCTTTATAAACTTCATATTTTGTTTTCATGTAACTTCCAACTCTAATAGCGGTTGCTTGCAGCCTTGTTGGAATAAAAATTTAAAAAAAAGTTAAAAAAGGGATACAAAATGTAACAAAATGTGCTTCCAAAGCCAACAGTTTCTTGGGATGGATGAAAAGCGCTTTCCTGAATATAACCTCTGATATAAACCTCTGGGAAATTTATACACAACTTATTTTAGACCTCATATAGAGTTTGTTGTGCCTGCATGTAAAGCTTACTCAAAAAAATATATTAAATGCATTGAGCATGTTCAACATATGGCCACGAAAACCTCTCACTCACGTAAAAAATTTGATTATGAAAAAAGATCAGAAATTCTCAATCTTACTACTTTAACAGATAGAGGAGCGTGTGCAGACTGCATTCAACAGTATAAAGTTGAGAATATATTAGATCACATCAACTGGTATACCAAATCAGAAACCAGGGCTCGAAATAGCCGCCGGACATCTGACATTGTCTGGCACTGGTCCGGTAAAAATCATCATAAATCGGTCATTTTGCCTGACTAATATTTTGTGTGAATTTTTCTTATAATTATTTTAGTAATTTAAAAGTTAAATGTTCAGTATGGAAATGTTCAGTATATTATATATAAACTTTCTTTATTATTTTATTTTTTAACCAAAAATGCACAAGAAAACGAAAGAGTACACAATGTGATGAAGTTCATCATTCTTTAAAACGATATTATGCTGCAAGAATTTTATTTAATGAGCAACACTTTTTTTAATGGGGGTTAATATAAACACATTTCTTACGTTTTTCCTTTTCATTTTAAAAATAGCTACCCTGTTAATATTATTATTTTGTAAAAAATAAAATTCAATTCAATATGTTACATTTTTAATAGTTTTCTGTTTACTGTGGATTTGATTTTGAAACTTGAATTGAATTTGAAATTTAAATTTGAAAGGTAAATATATTTGTTTCTTTTATTAAACTTATTTCTTATCTTATTAAATTTTGTAAACGGAAGTTTTAAATTTGACAATAAATATATTATTGAATTATTTGTAATGATGTGTTGTCATTATTCTAACCTAGGGCGTTATATTAAAAAAAAATGGAAGCAGTTTGCTCCCATTGTCGTGAAAGAAATACAAAGTATACGTGCATGAAATGTGCTGTTTTTTTTTTGCAATATTTGTGCAATTCTGGGGAAAAACTGTCGAGTCCATACATGAAAAAAAATGCCGAAGAAAAAACAAGATTACGGAAAATCCTCATAAAGTATCAGTATTGGCAGTAGAAACCTGGAAGTCCGAGCTTGCTGAGTATTCACTTAGCGAATGGCTATTTTATGACATTGATTCAAATGTAAAAGTAAAAAACTTAAAATGCAAATTTTGTACCAAGTTTAATGATACAATAAAAACTATGCCATACTATACGAATACATTATAGTTGGATCAGCAAACTATAGAAAATCGAATATTCTTGATCATTGTAAGCCTCGACCGCACTTAAAAGCGTACACCCTTTTTCTTAAAAAATCTAATAGTTTTCCAAATGCATCTAAACCTTTATTGCCCTGTAAAAATAACGCAACAATCACTGATAGTTTGAAAAAAATGGAAAAAAATGACCTTGAAAAAACCCTTCAAAATTTTCAACTTTCTTACTTTATAGCAAAACAAGTTACCTATTTCAAAGTTTGTTCCAACTGTTAAATTAGTTAAGCTTTTCGGTATAAATATGGGCAAATACTATATTTCAAATCGCCAATGTATTTATTGACTATATTGCAAGAAGTCTGCAAAATTCGTTACACGATAGCCTTAGAAATGCTAAATTTTATAGTGTATTGTGTGATGGTTCAACAGACTGTTCAGTTATTGAAAATGAAGTGGTGTATGCATTATATTTAGATCCACAGTCAGTTGGTTCGGATATAAAACATTTGGAATCTGGAAAAGCCCAAGGTGTTGTAAAGTTTTTAAAAGAATGCTTTCTAAATTTGCTAACACCTATTAAATGCATTGGTTTTACATCAGATGGGGCTACATTAAATAGAGGCGATCAAAGTAGTGTTAAAACCATACTTCGTGAAAAAAGTCTGTAGCTTGTGTTTATTTGGTGTGTTGCACACCGTTTAGAATTAGCTATTGCAGATGCTTTAAAAGATACAGAATTTGATCTTGTAGATGAAATTATATTACGAAGTTATTGTTTGTACCAAAAAGCACCAAAAAACTATTCCCAATTTATATAGTGTTTTAAAAGACGGGATGGATACGCTTGATAAAAGTTGCAAGCCTAAAAAGCGTCTGGAACATAATGAATTACATATAAAGTTAATGCCATGAAGTCTTTCCTTGACAAATGGGGTTTACACATAACCCATCTAGAACAATTAGCTATAGATCCATTGGTCCTGACAAAGCTAAAATGAAAGGGTATCTCCTAATTTGGAAAAAAGGAAGAATACCACTACTATTTGCATTTTTTTTGTCAATTTACTCGAGATTGCCTCAATTCTTTCAAAGTCAGGATGATCAAGTTAATCAAGTTCAAGTAATGAACTGTCTTACAAAAGCAAAGGAAAGATGGGAATTATTTGAGAAAAAAAGTCTCAAAAATTTGCCTAAAGTTAAAGATTTTATTTCACAAATCAAAAAAACAAACGGCAAACATTATTATCATGGTATTGAACTTAAAGACTTTGAGCGTGAGTTCAAAATTTTCAAAACAAAAACTGTGGAGTATTTAACAGTAGTCAGGGACTGCATTATACAACATGTAGAAAATGAAAAAGAAATTACTCTTATTTTAAAGTATGCATCCCAAGTATTAAATTGTAATGATTGGCTTCAGGAGGTTATAGCTGAAAGCTGAATCATAACGCAAAATTTAGATTTTGCCAATGAAGCTTTAAATTATATATGCAACCCCTTAAAGAGCCGTTTTGCTCTGCTGCTGTTGTTTTTCTAGACATCTTAACTCAATGGAAAGAAATGCTAAGTTATGCTCAATAGTTTTTATCCCCAGTTGAAAGGCAATACCGAATTACCGGGCAAGGCATATTTGTATCACCTAGAAGTAAATCATGGACCTCTATTTTAACAGTTATTAAGCTATTGTTATTTTGCCAATTTCTAACGCTAAACTGGAAAGAATGTTTTCAAAGATAAAAAGTGTAAAATCAAATTATCAAACCTCATTGACAGAATCTTGCGTTTCCAATATTTTGCGTATTTTTGAAAATGGTCCATTGCTGAATGAATTCAATTTTCTTCCTGCAATTGAATTGTGGTGGAGTGATAAGGGAAGACACCCCAACCAAAAACCAATGGGAATTTATAAAGATCGGGTAAACAAAAAAAGAACAATTACTTCCCTTAGCGACAGTGAAAATGATAGTGGAAAGGATCTTCTGAATTCTCTTTTTGATGAAAATTAAAAAGAAAAGAAATTTATTTGTGTAAAAATCTTTAAGCTTTAAAATAAATACAAAATATTGGTCTTGCTTTTATCATCCAACATATTCCTGCCGGGAAAAGTTCGTTTATGTAGGCATTACGTTTGCACAATAAATAGCATTAAATAGAAATAGTTGATACCAATATTATAAAGTAAAAATGGTTAGCATGATAGCAAACACTATCTTTTATTATTATTTTAATAAAAACTGTTTCTATTCTTTTAGAAATGTTGTCGCTTTTTTCCAAAAAAGTTACAAGTTTTTAACTTATAAATCTAACCATGAAAGTATATTTAAAAAATGTTTATACTTACATGATCTAATTATGTTTAAATTAACACCTTAATACTAACGACTGCACATACTAGTAGTAAATAATAAATTGGATATTAGTTTTGTAGTAAAAATATTTTTTGTTGAAATGTATTGGTCATGTCTGATTTATCAAACAAACTGTCCGGAACAAAAAAATTTCGTTATTTCGAACCCTGAGAAACTATTGCCCCACAATTGCAAAATTTTAAAAAAACTGTGCACACCAACACAACTTTTTCACTAACAGATTTGTCAATCAATGGAATAATTTGGACAATTTGACTGTGTTCCAGAAGAGAGTTGAAAGTTTTAAGAACAGTTTTGACAGAAAGAAAAATCTAACTAAGATATAACAATTAACAATGACTGGCACCAAGCCCCTGATCTGCTTATAGCAGAACATGTACTCATGTTCTGTTCCAGGAGTTTCTCTCCTTGTAGTGTGTAATAATAACAATGATAATAATAATATACTGTTATTATCCTTTTTAAGTATGAAATAACTGAGTTGGTCACTTTAACATAATTAATGCTAAATACTTTTAAACGTGACCCAAAAAAAATTATAAAAATATAACTAAAACCAAATTTGCTAAAATTTATTAAAAAATTATCATTTCAGATTTTAAAATTACCTCTGCAACAGCAGATTTTTTGGCACCCATCAATAATTCGTTTAGTGATATTCACTAAACACTGACAATATTCTTCACAAGAAAGAACCATTTCAAGATGTAGATCTGTAGGAAACATATCAGAACATTGATAATACTCTATTGATGTTACCAGACTTGATTGTATAAAAATCAATACAAAACATGATTTTAAACTGTGAAACATTTTTATTATCTAAAATAAAGTAAACTTATATATATATAGCATAAAATAAATAAATATATAGCATAAAATGCTTATAAATATATTATAAATACTTATTAATATGAAATATTGTTATAATTTTTTATCAATTGCCAATTTTTAAAATTTTTATTAGACTTTAGATACTTAAACAATTTTTAGCTTTTTTTAAATCATATTTTATTACTTTACTTCTTTTATTTATATAGTTTTTCAAAATTTGACAAAGAAATAATTTATAATCGATCTGACATATAAATGCAAATTGTATTAATTCTGGGGAGAATAACAAAAAATGCAAAAATTGTCAAAAAAATGTCAGAAAAAAGATACGTGGATAATAATTGTTAGAGAGGTAGTATAACATTGCAAAAGCAAATCAAACATAAGATTACTACAGCTTGTGGCCTGGACAACATACCTGTAATACAGCTTGTGACCTGGACAACATAGTGTAATAGTCTTGCAAAAGTGCTTTCCAGAGATGTCGTCTATACTTTCAAAACTATTCAGCAAGCGTTTATCAGAGTCTTGTTTTCCAGCCTGCTGGAAAGCTGCATCTATTATCCCTATTTTCAAAAATTCTGGAGAGCGATCTAATTTATCTAACTACAGAAAACTATTAGTTTTCTTCCTACCATAAACAAGGTTTTTGAATCTTTAATTAACAAACACTTAATCTCTCATCTTGAATCTAATAGTTTACTTTCTCATCTTCAGTATGGATTTTGATCTTCTCATTCTACAGTTGATTTGCTAACAGTAATAACCAATAGGTTTTATCGGGCATTAGATAAAGTCCACCTTTATCTAATGCCCAATAGAACAAGGTTAAGGCTATCGCTCTTAACATTTCTAAAGTTTTGATAAAATTTGGCATACTTTCTCCATACGCTTTCTATTTACGGTGTATCTGGTAACATCTTTATGATTATTGACTCCTTTCTTTCCAATCAAAGTATAAAGGTTGTCCTGAATGTTTTCTTTTTCATTTCCTGTAACTTAGGGGTTCTTCAAGGTTTTATCTTTAGGCCTATATCTTTTTTAATTTACATTAATGATCTCCCAGAAATTCTTACATCTAAGGTGGCATTGTTTGCTGATAATACTATCATTTATTCTTGTTATGATAAGAAGCCAACACTTACTAATTGCTTGAAGGGGACATTAAAATTTGGAAAGGATCTCACTTCTACTACTTCATAGGGCTCTTGTTGCTGGTAAACTTTAACTCAGATAAAACTCAATTTTTTTCAGCTAATTGTTATCACAATAATTTAGATTTTCCTATATTTATGAATGGTAATGTACTCAATGAGTCATCTACCCTTCACCTTTTAGGATTAACTCTTACTCCTAATCTTTCTTGGAAACCATATATCAAATCTGTTGCAAAATTAGCATCTGCTAAGGTTGCTTCTCTTTATCAAGCTCGACACTTTCTTACTCCAGATTCTATTCTCTATCTCTATAAATCTCAAATCCGTCCTTGTATAGAATACTGTTGCCATGTCTAGGGCGGATCTTCTAATGATGCTTTTACTCTTTTAGACAAGGTGCAAAAACGCATTGTAAACATAGTTGGACCTGCTCTTGCAGCCAACCTTCAACTTCTACCACATCGTCGTAATGTTGCTTCTCTTTCTCTTTTCTACAAATACTATAATGGACACTGCTCTAAAGAGATAGCAATTCTTGTGCCACCTACTAAAAATCATTCTTGTGTTACTCATCATTCAATTAAGTCTCATTCTTTTCTGTGACTGTTCCTAAGTGCTCCAAAAACTCTTATTCATCTTGTTTTAAAAAAAAAAATTATCATTTAATTCCAAACGGTTTCAAAGATATGACTATTCAAACTTTGCCTTGATTTAACAAAAATTTGCCATTTTAAAAAATGGTTTTGGTCATTGTTTTAGTTCTCTTGGCAATGGAAAGCTGAAAATGTGTATATTTACTTATCTTGAGGCAAGGAATCTAATAAAACAACCTAAAATATATAAAATCAAACATAACACCTGTAATTTTGACCTTTATTGCAATTTTACTAGGGCGAGTTTAATTACAAAAATGTTGATGTAGCTCGATTTTTTGTTTGTTTTTGTTTTATATGTTATCCTGAATAGTTTAGTTAGAGTTATTACAAAGAATTGGGGAATGGTCTTTTAAAACAGAAAAAAAAAAGGGCAAGTTTACTTAAATTTCTTACTTGAAAAATTTGTAATAACTAAACTATTCAGGTTGACAATTTAAAAAAAAAAAAACCTTACTACATCAGCATTATTGTAACTAAACTTGCCCCAGTAAAATTGCAATAAAGGCTACAATTACAGGCGTTATGTTTATTTTTATATTTTTTATGTTAATTAATTGAGTTCTTTGCTTTAAAATATGTAAATGTACACATTTTCAGTTTTTCATTGCACACAGAATAGAAAAAATGACCGAAACTATTTTTTAAATAGCAGGTTTTTGTTGGTTCAAGGCAAAGTTTGAACAGTATTATTTTTGAAACCATTTGGATTTAGAAGATAAAATTTTATGTTGTAATTTTATAATTTTATAGTGTCTAAAATAAATAAGTTTATTTCAGACACTATAAAATTAATAAGTTTATTGCAGACACTATTATTAAGTAAATACTAAAGTTATTTACAAATAGCATCTAAAATAAAGTTTATAAATACTAAAGTTTTTCAAAATAGTGTCTGAGATAAAATTTATAAATACTAAATTTACAAATAGTATGAAATAAAGTTTATAAACACTAAAGTTACTCTCAAATAGTACTAAACTGTTCTTAACTAAACACCTAATGATAATAGAATTTAATGATAACAATAATAGTAATAATAATAATAGTAGTTACAACATTAAAAACAATATTAGTAATAATAACAATTAAGATGATATAAAAAATGAATATAAATATTAATACAAACAATTATTTTACTGATTTTTATAATATAATATTGGTATACCTATGATAATAATAATATATTGTCATCAATGGTGATAAAAATATAGTAGAATTAACAATCTCATATAGCAGGCCATTCCTGTTGTCAACAACTCGATTTGTAAAGAAGTTACCTCATTGTTATTAGATCAAACAATCTCCTTGACCATTTGACTTTTATGACCATGACAAATTGCAAATCAGATTGGTGTGTGGGGCCAGTTTTTTTTACAGTTGTTTTACAAGGTTCGATTTTAAAAGGCTCTATTAAGTTTCAATGGTGGGTCATTCCATGTAAAACTGAGACAGTCATTTCAGTCACCTCTTGGATTTTCTTTAAATTTTACCAGGTAGTACATTATAATGAAACATGAAAAAATGTAAAATTTGAGCTCCCAAATCCAAATGGTTCAAAAGTTATGACGTTTTAAAATTCAGCCTAAAACGTTCCTTTTTTTGCCAAGTCCGCCATTATGGATTTTGTAGTTGTACTTTTTAATGAATAATTTAAGATCTAGTGGAAGAATGTGGCTAAAAATGAGTACCTGACTATTTTTGGGGGTCAAATTTAGTCAAATTTAATCAAATTTAGTCAAATTTAGTCAAATTTAGTCAAATTTAAATTTTATGATAGTTATTTTTTGATTTTAAAATGGTCAGTCCAACTTTTTGTTCTGTTACCATGATACTAGGCTATTGTTATAAAAAAGATGGTTTTGGTTTCTTCAAGAATTATTAAGATATGTCATTTTGAAATTTAGACAAAAAAATCATTTTTTAGCCTCTATTCTCCATTATAGACTTTATAGCTTTATATTTTATAGCGATGAATAATTAAAGTTCTAGTGGAGAAATATGACTGAAAATGAACAATAAACTTTATGCAGGCGTTAGAAAAATTTCAACTGGATTGAAAAATTGATACCTGACCAATTTTAAAGGTATTGAATACAAAGATAAAGATAAATGAACCCTAATCCTAGTATTTGAGAATAATTTTTCAATTTTAAAATATCAACAGTTAAATTTTTTTATTTCTTAACCATGGTTTACCTTTCCTTATTTCTGGAGTCGCCTTACTCTTATTGTGAAATAAGAGGTCTTAAAAAAGTTTAGGTTTCTAAAAGAAAATAAAAAAATATGCTTTGCATAACTTGCATATTTATAATCAATATTTTCAAAAGTATACATGAAAATGTAATTTACTATACAACACATTGAAAATATAATTTCTTTATTTATTAATTATAATAATTTAACATAACATTATTACTTTATGTCTAATAATAGGGTATTGTTGTGTTAAAAAATAAGAAACTAAAATGCAAACCTTTTTGAAAAACAGTAAAAAAATCTGATTTATTGAAAAAAGCTCAAAAATCAAAAGGAAAAGGAATAAACCAAATATGACTAAAATTGAAGTTTATATAATTTAAATAATGAAAGTAAAATATTTATCAACTTTCATTGACAAAATAAAAGATGTTCAAAATGAGTTTCGTCTTCTTTTGTGATGTGGTACTGACGCCCAGAAGATGTTGATGGTGTTTTAACAAAAGAAATGACATTCATTCTTGGCATCCAGCAATTATCATCCCGCTTTGGCCAGTAGTACGACCGACTTGGGTAATTTGGATGCATAAACTTTACCATAAAATCATCATTCTCTTTATCAACTTCAGAAACCATTCCAAGCCAGTTAAAATTGTCGAATTTGCAAAATAGGTATTGTGACATCATAACATTCTCAATTTTATCAATTTCGTATTTTTGTTTATTGAGGAAGTCAAATGTTAGAGCAAAATCATCATCATCGGAAACCCTTTTCATTTTTATAATTGAATGAAAAGAAGATATAAATTGATGGAAACTTCTTGTCCCAGGAATAGTGGTTGCTATTAATAGTCTATCAGCAAGTTTGATTCTTACTAGCTCCATTTCTTTAGCAGTGACGTACACAAACGTAATCCCACTGATTGACTTTTGGCACTATTCAAACATTGCTTGAGAAGCAATGTTTGAATAGTGCAGT